TAGCTTTAGTGGCAATAGCACTCTTTGCAATCTTCCATATGAGGAAACGCAACTTCGGATGGAGAGACAGGGACCAAAGCCATTTCCAGTCTTCGCTATTAGGTCGTAGGTCAGTTGATGACGTCGACTGCAAGTGAAGGTCCCTATTATCTCTGAGAGCTCTGTACGCAGATTTCACCGAGTAAGCTCCAGTATTAGAAAACTTCCAAATCCACTTGGCTGCTGCCTCCTGAGGACCAATCGGGATGTGCAGGATATCATCAACCACTCCTTCAGGAACCACCTCATACAGGCTCTCCTTCTTCCACTTTCTATAATGTTGATGAATCCAATCGCTCACCTTGGACTGGTTCAGACCTAGAGAAGACAAGGAAAACGAAGGGGCAGAAAGAAGCCAAGGGTCAGAGTTAAACATGGTATCATTACCTGATATGATACTTTTAACCAAACCCATCTTGAGTTTTTCTTTTGTGTCGCAGAGTCCACTCCAAATCCATGACCCATTCCTTCCTTTAGAGGCCGAGAAGAAATCCCCATTAACAAAATAAAGCCCTTTGAGAAGCCGAACCCAAAGAGCATCCGGATTCTCCAAAATCCTCCAAACTTGCTTGCCTATCAAGGCAACATTGAAGAGATGGAAATTTTTAAATCCTAGACCCCCTTCCTCTTTTGGTTCCTCCAGAGTTCTTGCATCGCACCAATGGATAGATTTCTTCTCCATAGAACCCGCCCAGAAGAACCTCTTCAGCAGCGAATCCATCTTGTTAGTCAAGGAAAGGGGCAGAAGGAAAATACTCATAAGATAAGTCGAAATAGCCAGAATCACTGCCTTCAATAGAACCTCCTTTCCTCCTGGAGATAAGAGTAAACTCTTCCATGATTCACCCTTCTTATCCATCCTTTCAAGTAGGAAAAGAAAAGTTTCCTTCTTAGACCGCCCCCAAACCGAGGGAACTCCCAGGTACTTGTCGTGACAAATAGAAGGCGAGAACCCCAGTTTATTTGTGATAATGCCTTTGAGCGCATCCGGCGTGTTCTTACTGAAAAAGATCAAGGACTTATCGACATTCTCTTGCCCTGTAATTCCTCCATAGTTCATTAGGATCCTCTGAATATGATCGACCTCTTTGACACTTGCTTTTCCAAATATAACAGTATCATCGGCAAATAAGCAATGTGAGATCCTAGGTAAGTTAGGCTTGAGCTTGATACCTTGAATTTCACCTTTATCAACTGCTTTATCGATCAAGAAAGATAATGCATTCGACATGAGGATGAACAAGAAAGGAGAGATTGGATCTCCTTGTCGAATACCTCTCGAAGGTTGAAACTTCTCTGTAGGGCTCCCATTCATTAATAATGAGAATCTGACAGTTTGAACACAAGATCTTATCCATCCTCTCCATTTATCAGCAAATCCATAAGCAAGAAGGATAGAATCCAAACACTCACAGTCCACTAGATCGTATGATTTACGCATGTCTAATTTTATCATCATGTCCCAATTCCCACTCCTTCTGGTCTTGAAATGATGGAGGATTTCATGAACGATAATGATGTCTTGTATTAGTCTACCTCTAGTGAAGGCCGCCTGCATTTCCTAGACTAGTCCAGGCAACCATTTCTTCATTCGGCTTGAAAGAATTTTTTATATTACTTTGTACCGAAAGTTGCAACAACTTATCGGCCTGAACTGTTTAATAGATTCCGGTGATTGGACTTTCGGAATGAGGGCGATGTGGGTATCGTTCCACCCGTCAGCCATGATTGAAGTCTCAAAGAACACCTGCACTTCCTTACAGAAATCTGGACCAATCTTACCCCAAAAATTTCGGAAAAAGCTCCCTGCAAAACCATCTGGACCGGGTGATTTTGTGGGCCCAAGATCAAACACAGCTTCTTTAATCTCCTCCACAGTGGGTTCCTTGCAAATATCTAAATTCATTTCTTGTGACACAAGATGAGGAAAATCCTGAAGAGCGGACAAATCCCTGCCATCTGACTTGGTGAACAGAGTTTTATAGTACTCTTTAACATGAGAATTAATATCTTCACGCTGTGAAATAACACCACCATTCTCATCAATCAACCTAACAATCTTGTTCCTCTGCTTCCTGTGAATAGTTGAGGAATGAAAGAAGTTAGTATTCCGGTCTCCCTCGTTAAGCCAGCAGATTCTAGATCGTTGGCTCCAAAACAGTTCTTCATCCTTCCAGATTATAGCCAATTCATTCATCAACAATTTCTCTTCATTGATTATTTCCTCAGTACGCTCAAGTAGGAGAATCTCCTCAAGCCTTCTTTGAATCTCATCAGCCCTTTTATTTTGATCTTGAAAACTTGTTTAGCCCAAATCCTTAACTCCTTTTCACATTTAGACATTTTCTCTTCACAATTTCCTTCCTCTTCCCATATCCTGTTGACTATATCATGGCACTCTTCTCTCTTTAACCATCTTGTATCAAACCGAAATGGAGTTTTAACTCTCTGCTTTAAACCTTCCAACTCCACTTTCAGGGGGCTATGATCAGACTCGATAGGCAGCACATGGATGACCCTAGAATTAGAGAAGATGGAGAACCAGGATGTTGAGCACAACACTCTGCCCAATCTCACCTCAACCCTTCTTGAGCCTTCTTGGTTATTCTTCCACGTGAAAGGGTAGCCCGAAAAGCCAAGGTCCATTAATGCATTATCAGAAACAAAGTCCTTAAAAGGAATTACAGAATCCGCTCTAGGAGGACCTCCCCCCAGTTTCTCCTCAGAGAACAAAACAACGTTCATATCCCCCATAACAACCCATTTGTCTTCTACATTAGTTCTTACCTTGGGGTAGTATCAACCGAGAATTCATTATAGGTGTGTGTTTGGGTAACGAGACTAGGGATGGCAATGGGGCGGGTTTGCCTGAACCATCCCCATTCTCATTAACAAATACCCAAATTCATATCCGCCCTTGCGCCCCATACTCATGTGGAGGGAGGTTTTTCAAACCCATCCCTATGCCCATGAATTTCGGATATCTATGGGTAATACCCGCCCCGTATAAGCAATATTATTATATGTAAAGGTCTACATGTATGTCTTCAATTATAACACAAAATATACATAATAAATAGCGGAAATCAACATAGTTATAGTGTTTCTTAATAGGAAAAAGCATTCAATCCTAAAATATTAATTAATCAATAAAATGTAATACTATATATACTATATATACCAAATCATTCATCTTAGAATCTAACACATCTATATAGTAAATAGCTAATATAAACCTGTCAAATAGACAAAAACATCTTTTGCTTCTAAAATATTAAAGTCTACTAGACTACCAATTAATTAGGCTATTACTATCTCATCAACAATTTTGGTAAGGTGGTCATCTCCAAGATGCACTTTCTCAATCTCATTATCCCAAAGACCGATAATACCTCCAAATCGATCTCAATTTCTATACATAAAAAATAATTCGATATTCAATAATACCAAATAGTGATAAATTTAATACAATAAGTCGATAATGGGTATATTTCAAATTGGATACCAAACTTCCCGTAGCAATTGTACTATTACAAGTTAAAACTCACCATTACCAAGCTGACCGATCCTCATGTATTCCAATTGGGTGCTTGATCATCTGCTTAATTGTTGCCGTATCCTAAGATTCCATATTAATTAACATTTATCGACTTTCCATTCCAATTCGTTATCGTTTTCCCCAAAAGTATGACTGTTAATATACTGAATTGCTATTCGTCGCCCTAAAATTCAAATTTTATCGCCCTAAAACACACAAATTGACACATTTACCCTTCAGTTCAATTTCAATTCTAGCCCTAACCAAACAATTCCTTCTTCACCGCCGACCAAACATCCGCCGCCCTCACCCAGAAAAGAACTGTTGCCTCATCACCTCCCCTCCCATGCTCCTGCCCCAACCCCAATTTGCCGCAGCTGCTACTCAAGCGCCGGAGGGAACGAGGACGAAGAAGCAAGTTAACAAGGTGGGAGAAAAAAATTGCAGAAGTTTACGAGGAGCTCGATATTCCACTTTCGCTTTCTTGAATTCAACTATTGCCTGAAATAAAGTCCAACACATAAAGTTCATTATAGGTTGGACTATGATTAGCAGATATCTAGGGCTTATCCATTTATATATATATATATACCTTTTGCACCAGTTAAGAGGAGAAAATAAAATGGGTTGGACAAAGTTCAGAAACGAAGAACAAGCATGCTAAGAACAACAGTCTTCCTATTATGGAAAAGTGGATCTCTAGTTTACCTAGGGTTTGGCGAGCCTGCTACAATTTGTGAAAGACAAATAATTGAGATAAGGGTATTAGAGTAAATGTAATTTAATTAGGGCGACAAATAAGAAAATTTTAGGGCGACAAATAGCAATCCCCGTTAATATATAGTTTTTAATTAGAGTTATAGGTATAATATGCCCCTCTACTATGACGTTTTATCAAACATCCCCTCTATTATTTTTTATATCAAACATACCCCTGTACTTCAAAAAAATTATCAAACATGCCCTTCTGTTAAAATTTTCATTGAAAAAATCGTCAATCATGGTTGAACCGAGATTTAGACGACCCGTCATCGGGAAATGATAGTAAAATGTCAGTTTTGTCTGCCGTTTTATTTCTCTGGGTCTCTTCAAAGTGAAATTATTTGAAATTATTTGGCTATACAAAAGAACAAAAAAATTCTAAAGTGAAATTATTAGGGATATTTTAGACATTTGTGCCGCCCAAACCAAAGTTCGACCTTAGTTAACGGTTTTTGGATGAAAATTTAAACAAAAGAGCATGTTTGATTAAACGTAATAGTAGATGGATATATTATACTTATAACCCTTTTAATTATTATGCCATCAAACAATAACCGACCTTTTAAAGAGTATACGGCAATGGATGCTTGGCCGGCACAGAAGAAGCCTTTGTTCACGCAAACCTTTTCACTATAAATACGGCCACACAACTCCACATTTCTCGGCAGTCCCCTCATTTTCCAACAACCATGGCTCCTTTTGTCGCCATCTTACTCTTCCTTCCATTTCTAGCCGCCGGCTTCACCGCCGCCGCCGCCCCACCACCGTCGAAATGCTACACTTCCCTCTTCAGCTTCGGCGACTCCGCCACCGCCACAGGCATCCAGAAAACCGACAACACCCCCGGCACCACCGCCCCGCACTGCGCATTCCCTCCCTACGGCGAATCCTTCTTCCACAAACCCACCGGCCGCTGCAGCGACGGCCGCACCATCGTCGACTTCCTCTCCCAGTACCTCCGCCTTCCTCTCCTCCCCCCTTACTGGGGCGAAACCATCCCCGCCGCCGCCAACGCCACCAAAAATCCCTACTCCCACGGCGCCAACCTCGCCGTCGTCTCCGCCACCGCCCTCGACTCCAACGAAACGGGAGGAGCCTCCGGCTGCCGGAACTGCTCCCTCTCCGTCCAAATCAACCGGTTCAAAACCCTAATAAACTCGCTCCACCCCACCTCCGCCAAACGCAGAGCGTACCTGAAGAAATCCCTAATTCTCCTCGGCGAAATCGGCGGCGTCGATTACCAGCGCGCCTCGTTTCGCAACACCACCACCTCCCAATCCCAAGTCGAATCCCTAATTCCCCTCGTCACCAAGCGAATCGGCGCCGTAATCGAGGACCTAATCGAATTCGGGGCCGTCAATTTCGTCGTCCCCGGTGATTTCCCCAAAGGTTGTTTCCCTTCCTACCTGACCAAATTCCAGAGCTCGAATCAGAGCGATTACGACCCCACCACCGGCTGCCTCGTCTACCACAACTGGTTCTCCGCCCGCCACAACAAGCTGCTGAAGAAGGAGATTGAGAGGATAAGGAAACTGCACCGCCACGTCAGCGTCCGCTACGCCGACTATTTCTCGACGGGGATCCGGATGCACCGGAACCCGGAGAAGTACGGGATCGTTAAGGCGACGATGAACAAGGCCTGCTGCGGGGCCGGCGGGCCCTACAACTACAACCCGGCGGCGGTCTGCGGGCGGGTCGGGGCGGTGGCGTGTGGGAACCCGAAGGCGTATATAAAGTGGGATGATCATCATTACACGGAGGCGGCTAACAGAGTCATCGCCGGCGCTGTGTTCAAGCGTCGGTTCCAGTACCGTACTGCTTGTAGAAACTAACTAGTATGTCCTGGTTGATTGACGCGAGGCCGTGATCGAGTGGTCGTATCGTTGATGTTTTCGATTTGGAGCTCTCTCAGATTCGAAACCCAAGGACCATGCTCATCTATTCCTCTCCTCTCTAGTAGCATTTCTCTGTAAAAAAAAAAAAAAAACTAGTAGTCCAGGTTCGACCAAGAATTTCAATATTGTTGTTCCTTTAGTTCTGAATTTTACTGTCATTACTCATTGGCGCCACTGCCACTCTGCCTACCGCCATTGCTGGAGTGGGAACGCAGGATTTAATTTGAATAATAATATTGTTAGAAGTTCTATATTTCATATGCGCAGCGTAACGGTGGTGATGATGATGACCGATTTTCGTCATCAACTAGTCAACAGAGAGTTCAATGTGTTCAAGTCAACTGGTCGACGCGTTCTGAAATAGAGCATGTGGTATATATTATTATTATTATTTATTAAGATCTCAAGGCGTCAATTGGGTCACATGTCAGAAAGTATATGGTGGAGATATTTATCTGCCGAATAAACTGAATGACCCACGAAACCGTTGACTATCTAGAAAATGAACCTTGCACTATTATACGAGACCAGCTAGGTCCTACACAAGAATATAGTCGTGGTCCTAAACTATTAAATTTTATCAAACTAGTCCCATCCAGATTAATTAAGGACTGATCATATAGTTTGGATCATAACCATGATCCTTGCCTCCTTGGAATTGCGTGGATCGGAAATTAACGTCGAGTTATTTTTTTAATTAATTGTTGAGTTTTTTTTCCCCTGAGTAATATCAGAAAGAAAGTTAGAACAAACACTACCCAATTATTTTTTTAATTAATTGTTGAGTTTATGTATTGAGAAGGTTGAGTACGCCGTTGCTTTGACGATTAGCTACGCAAAGGGTCCAAAGTCCAAACATCACAAAACTTAAAACCAATAGAAAACAACAAATTGAAGCCTAACTCGGTTCGAATGTTAGATTTGATTTATGTGTATGTTAAATACTTAAAACATAAGAATTTGTAAATTTTGTACTTATGTTATAAGTAATTCAAATTTATAATTTGGATATTCATTTGAAACTAGTTGGCATTTCATATTTTTTCCATTTTCAGTAACATTACAATTGCCAGATTCAATTTTTATTACATTTTAATACTTAAATTATAATTTTTTGTGTAGAAATATATCAATAAATTTTGATGGTAAAATTATGTTTTACTGGTTTTCTATTTTTTCCTATATGAACTTTCAAATTTTACAAACAGGGCCTATATGTTGTTGTGAGGAATTTCACATAGTTTTGTAAATATTTGAAACTCATCAATGCCCTAGATAGGTATTCAAAATTGAACATAAATATTTGACAAAAATTCAATATAATGTCTAGTTAGTATTCAAACAAATTATGTGACATTTGAAAATTTAAAATTCCAAATTCCAAATCAAAATTATTCTTCTCTCCAAGATCACCTTCCCAAAAAACTAGTACTAATGGCGCTCTTAAGTTGTTGGTAGATATACAAAAAGGTTAAAACAATTAGATTTAAATTTGTTAATTAGTTGCTAGTGAATTTTTCTAGTCCGTAGTAACTGATAAACAACTCCAAGAGGTTGGCCAACAGCTAAACGAATTTTGTTTTAATGGATGCGAAAAAACATCCTATCTTTTATTCATAAACATCCGAGATTTAAAGAGCCCTGAGAATCATATATAGTGTTGTGACCAAGGTTGTCAACCCGCGGGTTGACCCACTATGACCCTGACCCGTTGAGAAAAACGGGCCGCACGCACCCGCCGGGTCGATCGCCACAAGGTATCGGGTTGGAGGTCAAATTGTATCATTTTTTTCTTTGTTTTGCGAAATGCGCCTATTTTTCGATTTTTCTTTTCGCCTAACTCAATCTTTGGAATCCTAAGTTGAACATTTGAATATTAATGTTATATAAGTATGTGTGAATTTTCACTATATGTTGAATTTTCAGGATAAGTACAATATAATGACGCTTTCCATATTTCCGGGCTAAAACGGGTGACCCATTAACTCTTAACCCACTAGCTCAACCGGGTCCGGGTCAACCCGCGGGTTGACAACCTTGGTTGTGACTAAACGTAGAATCAGGATATAAACACGACATGCATGTCAACCAACAGAAAATGACCTCCACTAATTATAGATAATCTACACATTTGCTATGTAACTGAAGAGTGCTGGAATGGGTAAAAATCATTAACATGAATGAGTCATGATTGAAGGACAACAATCTCTCCCTTAAATGCGAACAAGGGCAAACGAAATCCAAATTGTTAATAATCATCTTAAAGAAAATTGAGAACAAATTGAAATCATAAACATGATTTGTATGGAAAAGGGTAAAAATCATATAGAAAATCACTAATGACCATCTAACAATTGGATATTAACTAGATTAGGAATCATCAATATCATATTCAGAAATATTAATAACCATATCATTGATCAGTAAAGAATGACAAAAGATTTAATGAATAACTAGATAGGCAATCGTAGATGATTATAATAAAAAGTGTTAATCTTCTCTTCTTAGCAACCCATCTAATTTGTTTTTTCCCAGCTCCTGCGCAAAGCAAGGGAGGGTTATTTGGTCCTTTTATTGATCCTGTAAGCAGGCAATTTTGGTGGGTTTAAATCACCTAACTCATTAACTACAGAAAGGATTGGACTTCAATTGAAAAACTGGCATTGTTTTTTAGTTGCTATGTTATGCTGTATTTATATATTAATATTATTAGCGGTTGTGATTTTATTGCGGTGTTTGTGAAACTGAATCATATTGGTGGTTCGATTGTAAAAAACTCTTAAAGGAAATTAAACTGGTAAGTGAGTTTTAGTGCTATGAAATGCTTGAACCGCGTCACGGTTTCAATATAAAATACACTACTGTTGGCTCTTTTGGTACAACCTTCAGTATAGTTTCGTAATCCTTTATTTATTGTATCCATCTAGGTAATTCATATTAGGTGTACAATTCGAAAGCCCGCATGACCATTCGTTATTAGTTTTGAATGAATCATATATCATTCAATTTAATTTTAATAATCAATTTTTGAGATAAAAATTAAATTAATTATGCTCTAGAAAATTATATTCACTGGAATATTTTGGAAAAAAAATGTCAATCGAGAGTCCTATAACATCATACAAAATAACATTCTCTTTTTTATAATGGTGATCGAATTGCATTAAACAGGAGAAAACAGGAACAACAATACACTGCCCGATCTATATTATTTACATTTCATAAATTAACTCACATAAGACAAAGTTGAAGAGAATTTTCAATGAAAAAGAAAATATGTCCTTTATATAAAAGAAAATGGTACCTGTTGGAGAATTTTCAACACTTCTATTGGTAATTCATTAAGTTTTCAATCTATAGGTTATCAAAATTTGTTAGCACTAGGTAGCTTACAGTGTTAGAGAGAGAAAATAAATATAAAAAATGATAATGACTAACGAAGTAAATTCTGCATTGCGAAAATGATGTTTCATATTTCAAACATTTTACCATTAAAGATTGGCTTTCAATGAAATGTTTAAAAAGAAAGAAGAGCTATTGTGAAGATAAATGTTTCATTAACGAAGACAAAAGCATTGATACTGGTGGAGATGATGATTTTTTTTAATGGTAAAGCGATCACCATGAAATCAAAAATAAAATTTGCACTTATTCTTCACAACGAGGTGCAAATAGTGTGGTTTGTTAAGTTTTCTAGAGCCGATTCCATTGCATGACTTTTGTTGTTTAGTTTGGGTAAGGACTTTTGTCAGTGAATCTATTGGCACATCGAAAAATTCAACGATTATGGTACTTTTTTATATTTTCAATAATTAAATAATTTGAATTTTTATGGTATCAAATAAAACATGTCTTAGTTGGGATAATTATTGATGTTTTTTACTTAGGGTAAGGAACTTTATTAATAAATATGTTAGCACGTCGGAAAATTTTACGAGTATGGTAGTTTTTCATATTTCCATTAATTAAATAATTTTAAATTTTTTATGGTAAGAAATAAAAAATGTCTTACTTCAGACCATAGTTAGTAAAATACGGTAAGAAAAAGTTACGTATGAAATACGTATGGGTGTTTTACTTCATCTGTAAGCGAATATTACGTTCAATAGTACGTACGTCAATAGTCATATATATAATTAATTATTTTCAAAAGTTAAAAATATATAAATAATATAAAAATTAGCAATTTAATTCATTAAATACATATATTAAACATGTTATATGGGTTTTATACGTGTTTAGTATGGGAGCCATCAAATTAACGGAAAAAATGAAATGACTTCACAATAATACGGATATAGAAATTTTAAACGTATAAAATACATACATGTACATATACGTGTATTAAACAGAATATAACTATGCTTCAAACAATTGCTATTGTTATGCGTAACATTGATGGAATTCATCCGCCTAACGGGCGGGCTCACATGTACTAGTAACTAGATAGCTCAATAACAATTCCTCGTCTCTCTTATTCTCCCGTCTTACATATAATTTTTTTATTCATTACGCCCCGCTTTTCCCATTACAAATATGTGAATTCTTATCTTAACCGCCGCACAAGTTTTATAACCATCATTCCGCCGCAGTGAAACTTTCCGGCGCCGGTTGCTTCCCGCGGCCGCAACCCAAGCCGAACGACGGGCCTCGCACCACCTCCGCTGCAATCACCGCATTCGCCGCCTCGGTGCAGTGATGATCATCCCACATCACGTAACTCTTCGGATCCTCACAGGCAACTGCCCCCGGCCGTCCGCACACCGCCGACGGGTCGTAATTGTACGGCCCGCCCGCTCCACAACAGGCCTGGTTTACCGTCGCTCGGCCCATCCCGTACTTAATCGGGTCCTGGTGCATCCGAATCGAGGGCCCATAGTAATCCGCGTAGTGGATGCTGACGTCGGGATGGAGGTTTTGCACCCGTTGGATTTCGTCACGAAGCATTGCGTTGTGGCTGCTGGAGACGCCGTTGTGACGGATCAGGCAGCCGGTGAGAGCGTCGTAGTCGCTCCGGTTGGTGGTCTGAAATTGCGTGAGGTAGGCGGGGAAACAACCCTTTGGGAAGTCCCCGGGGACTAGGAAATGAACCTGTTCGACAAAAAAAAATTTACGTGCATGAATATAGGTAAAATTTTTGTCTGTTTTGAGCCGCATCGTTTTAATCTTGGGATGTATATCAATGTAGATTTCTTAAGAGAGATCACCCATTCTTGCATTGCTGTATAAATAAGCGCGTTTAAATTCGAAGTTTTTACAAGAGCTCTTTCATTTCACCCAAAATGTATGTTTCCGGTTAAAGTGAGATTCTAACTTATGAAACATATATAGATATCTCTCCTAGTTATCCAATGTGAAATATGTGTAAACTGTTTTTTGCTATACTCCATTTTATTTGGTAGGATCGATTTTTTGTTGTCTGTTATTAATTAAATAAATGATGTGGACATGTGGTTCATTTTTTTCTTGTCGCTTGACATGAATTTTTTTTTCCGATTTTTTTTTTTTTTTGTTTATAATGTGTATTCCTGATTTATGGATTAGAGTTATTGTGAAAGTTAGTAAGATGTCCCTTTTAACTAAAAAAGAGGAAGTTAGTAAGGTGTCCTTTTACGTACCGCTCCAAGCTTGATCATCTCTTCGATAGCCGATCCGATTCGTCCGACCACGATCGGCATCAGCTCCTCGACGACATCCCCGCCAGAATCCAGATTCTCGAAAGCCGCGCGCATGTAGTCGACGCCGCCGATTTCTCCGAGCAAGATGAGGGAGCTCTTCAGATACTCTCTGCATTCCAAAGGAGTGGAGCACAGCGTCCCAAGCAGGGTCTTGAACCTTGCCAGCTGGACGCTGAGCGAGCAGTTTTGGCAGCTGACGATGCCTCTGCCCTTGAGGAACTCAAAGTCCAAGACGGTGGCGGAGACGACGGCGAAGTTGGCACCCTGGAGGAAAGAAGTGGAGTTGGCGCTCGGGTACTCTCCGTGATAAGGAGGGAGCAAGGGGAGGCCGAGGTGCTGAGCGAGGAAGTCGACGATGTTCCGGCCGTCGCTGCACCGGCCGGTGGGGCGGTGGAAGTAGGTCTCGCCGTAGGGCGTGAATGCGCAGTGCGGGGATTCGGTTCCCGGGGCGAGGTCTTTGGTGTAGATGCCGGCGGCGGTGGCGGAGTCTCCGAAGCTGAAGAGGGAAGTGTAGCATTGAGATGACGGGTTCACGATGGTGGAGGAGGAAGCTTCAGTAATAATGGAGAGAGCGAGGAGAAGGAAGGCGATCATTTGGTGAGTCGCCATTTTTTGTTTTTTGTTTTTTGCTAGCTGGACGTAGTAGGAGGAGGAAATGGCGGACAGCTTTGTTGATGAGAAAGATATCGATCGATCGAAAGTGTAGGCGGCTTTAAAAAAAGGGTGTTAGGGGTCGGGGGCTTGAATGTGATGGTGAGTTGGTTCTAGTAACATTCATGGTGCCAGTTTGATAAAAAGGAAAGAGAACGAACTGAAGGACCAGTTTTGGATGTAGTTTCCGCCGGAAAACATATGCCACGTGCATGGGGAAGGATGGATGACGGACGACTATTGGTTAAATTAATATGGAACTAACGCAGGTATACGTGTCATTAGAGGTGGCAGGTTTTCGGTTAGCAGTTAACCGGACGGTTTCAACCAAATCGATCGGTTTATGACTAACCGAAAAATCGGTTCTGAATGCATCGGTCGGTTGGCGGTGATCTTGGGTAGGGGTTCGGCTAGCCGACTAACCGGGGACGGAAACCGGCGGTTAACCGGCTAACCGACCCCTTACCTTTCCCCAAAAATGACCCCGCTTCAGTCCCACACTAACCCTAAGTGTCGAGTCTTTCGACTCCCCCCGCCGCCTCCACCTCGTCGCCCCGCCACGCCGAGCTCACCATCATCGCCGCCCTCCGCCACAAGAACCTCGTCCAACTCCTCGAATGGTGCGTGGAAAAGGGCGAGCTCCTATTAGTCTACGAGCTTATGCCACACGGCAGCATCGACAAAGCCCTCCACCACGACGACGGCGGCGGAGGAGTGCTCCTCTCGTGGGAACAGAGGCGAAACGTCGCCGTCGGTCTAGCCTCCGCCCTGGCGTATCTACACCAGGAGTGCGAGCAGCAAGTGATTCACAGGGACATCAAATCGAGCAACGTGATGTTGGACGCGAATTTCAACGCGAGATTGGGCGATTTCGGATTGGCGAGGCTGATGGACCACGACAAGAGCCCCGTTTCGACCCTGACGGCGGGGACGAGGGGGTATCTTGAGCCGGAGTATCTCCACTACGGCAAGGCGACGGAGAAGACGGATGTGTTCAATTATGGAATCGTGTTGCTTGAATTGGCTTGCGGGAGGAGGCCGATTGAGAGGTAGGCGGAGAGCCAGAGGATGGTGAATTTGGTGGATTAGGTTTGGGGATTGTATGGTGAAGGGAAAATTTTGGAAGCTGCTGATGAGAGACTCAAGGGGGAGTTTGAGATTAAAGATGTGGGCGATGGCGGTTACCGGTCAGTTAGGCAGCTAAACCGAACCGACCTTCAGATTTTTGGTTGCCCCGGTAAACCGCACCTAAACCAAAAACCAGCCGGTCGGTATGCGGTTAACTGGGACTGCTGGGACGGTCGGTCGACGGTAGCGGTTGGTCATGTCTCGGTTGAACCGATACCGACCGGTTGCCACCCCTACGTGTCGTATACTCGAATATGATGAGCTAGAATAAATTTACTGACAGTCTAGCAATAGATATTATTTATTATTTTCCTCCATGTAAACGAAGTATTGAAGTTTCTAAAATAATATTAATAAAGAAATTGAAGGAAGTTACATATAACGAGAAGATTATTCATAAATACTTATGAGTGAAAAGGCAAAATCTACTGCCAGTCTAGCGGTGAGAATTCAATACTTCTTTGAGATATTAAAGTTTGGGTTAATACCTTATTTTGGCTCGAACTATACTCATATAATCAACTTTGGTCAGTGATTTCAGAAATTCCTACAGTGGCCTCAACTATGTACTATATAGACTCAATTGGCCCGACTTGTGAATTTTCGTTAAATTAAATGGTCAACGATGTTAACCATTAGTGAATCAGTATACTATGCTGACGTTGATGCCATGAGAAAAATAAATATTAATAAAAATTTAATAATGTAATAAATATATAAAATTAAAAGGATAAACTGAAAAATTAAAAAGAAAATTTCCCTCCTTCCTCTCCGCTGCACGTGACCGCCACCCCGCACTTCGCCGCCTCCCCGCTTCCTTCCTCTTTCCCCACCACCGTCGAGAATTTCAGTTGCACCCTCAACTTCTCGTCCAGTCGACCGACCGCCTCGTAACCAGATCGATTACGATCCAACTCACCCTTAGCTTTTCCTCTGCCTGCACCGGTCGTCGTAGATCCGTACCCGGCGAACCGAGGCAGAGGCTACCGGTCGTATAATTCGCTGCGCTCTCCCTCCCGATTGGCGGAGGAGCTGCCGATGCCAGGCAGAAGGTCCAGCGTCGTGGTCGGCTCAGCTGCTGTAAAGTCAAAATAAGAAACAGAAATCTACAAGTTTCAGATCTGATTTCATTTCGATCTCGTAAATTTAAATTCCATTTTCTTCACCGAGACAAAGAAGTGATGTCTGATGATTAATTAAACAGTCAATTAATTATCTGAGGAAAATTTGTAATTAACGGGAGGCTGCTGGTGATCGAACTTGGCGGCGAGGGTAATATCTCCCAGATTGGCTACTGGCTCAGGAGGTTGCTAGTCTGTGCGAAAGTCGACTTTTCGGGGCCGATGACGAAGATAACAACAATTTCTTCACCATTTTCGTCCTTCCTTGTTCTTCGTTTGCGACGGAGATTGAGATTTTTTTTTTCTTTTCTTTTGGGGATGGCAATTGGGATTGGTTTGTGGGTTGGATGGGGAAGCTGATTTATAGATAAATTAAAAAAGGGTTAAATTAAAGGGTTGGATGGAGTGGTAGTGGTCGATGGAGAATAAGGAGTCAGAGAAGAAGGAGCGGCAAAACTGACCGTCAAACCATGGATCGGGCAATTTTGTCTATATGGGCCATAATTGAGGCTACGGTTGGAATTTCTAAAACCATTGGCCAAAGTTGATTATATGAGTATAATTCGGGCCAAAATAATATAAAGATATTGGAGGACATGACATACATTGGAATGTATGATTGGAAGGAAGTTACATACAATGAGAAGATTATTCATGAATACTTATGAGTGCAAAGGCGAAATCTACTGCCAGTCTAGCGGTGAGAATTCAATACTTCTTTGAGATATTAAAGTTTCTACCCAAAACAATATAAAGATATTGGAGGACATGGCATACATTGGAATTTATGATTTATTCATATAATCTAATAACTTGTTTGAAATATAATAACGTATAGATTTATTTTTTTGGGAATATAATCTAATAGTGTGTTTATATAATTCACACATTCATAATAGTATACGAAAAAAACTTTCGGCCCTCGAACCTCAAATTTTGGCTCCGTCCCTGCAGATAAGACTATGAGGCCAACTTCAATGCAAGACCCCAAATTTGGAGACCTTCATCCTCAAATTTGGGGATTGTCCCCATTTTCTTCAATTTGGCTCCAATGCTACCATCACCAAATTTGGGGATCTTCCTTTTTTCTAGTTTTTGTTTACTTAAAAATTTACTTATTATCATCTTAATATAATTTTTTCAAGTTAATTTTTGTATAGTTCGTCGTCATTTTTAAATACAAATTTTTCGATAAAATTTATACAAATTTAGAGACCGATTTTTTTGGGAAAAAAATTATTGGCCTAAGTTGGGTTTACACACATAATAGTTCAAATGATACAACTCATAGATTACACACAACACTTGATAATGATAAAGGTTAAAGATTACACACAATACTTGAAAATGATAAAACTTAAGGATTACAAACAACACTTGAAATGATAAAGATGAAACACATAACATGTTAATAATTGCCCAACAGAGAATAGTAAGTCTCGTAATCTCCTCCATTTTCATCTCCTCCTCCACTCTCATCTCCTCCCCCGGTCTGACTTGCGTTGGATGAATAGTTGGGAACAGAGTTGGGATCATCTTGATCTTACCCTAGAAGCATATTTTGCTTATTTTTGTAATAATTCATTTTTCTTGGTGTTAACTTCGACAAGTCCTTTTCAAGAAGATCAAGAAGTCATTTTCCCCAGTCTTACTTAAATACAGTTGTTCTGTCATATACTATACACATGAATGAATGAGATGGAAAAGGAGTTGTAAAATAGAACACACATACTAATGATCGAGTTAGAAAATAACAGTGATGGTGATAGAGAATTCATACCACATCTTGTTGATTCGTGCTACTTGGTTGATTCCTCTATGCCCTTTGGATAGCTGAATTCCAACACTTGCAGAATTTGGATATTATGCCCATTCGGTTAGACATGATTTTGATGGTACGAGCTGAGGTTCGATCGTTCACTCGAAATTGCGCAGCCACACTCTATCCCCTCTCATATCTTGCTTGTCATTGTTTGGTTTTTAGAGAGAGAAAGACGATAGAAATGATGATGAAGTTGACAGAAAATTTCAATTTAGTAAGAATGAGATGTAGAGAGAGGAGATGAAGTCTGAATATATAGAGAATTTAGGACCGTTAGGTTTGAACATTAGATGTTACCGTTCGAATATGACCGTTAGATGTTACCGTTCGAATGTGACCGTTTGGATATGACTGTTAGGTAAGGTTGCTAGGTAAGGCTGTTAGGTAGCACATGTTCGGTATGTCATTGGTAGGTAAAGTTGTTAGGTAGCACATGCTAGGTTTGTCATTGGTAGGTAGCACATGTTCGAATATGACCGTTCGGTTATAAATACAAATCCCTAATTTGCCATCAATTCAATACTTGTCTAAAACTCCCTCCCATTTCTAAATCAAACACATCCATCAACTTCTCCCCCATATTCTAAAACATATCCATCATGAGTCCCTCAGATTACTCATCGTCTAGAGGAGAAGAAGAGATGGAAGAGTTGAATCTGTTTCACTATCACCGTTTAGCTGTAACCGGGCGGAGGCTTGAAGAAGCTTCATCCTCACGTCGTCGTTCATCAAGTCGCACCTACATTGATCGTGAAAGGGTCTCAGTCATGACCGTCTTATGCAGGATTACTTTAATCCAAATCCAACATACGATGCTCGCATATTTAGAAGGCGTTTTCGTATGCAACGACGACTATTGAATCGCATAATAGGTGACGTTGTGAGGTATGATCCCTCTTTTGCAAGAAGGAGTGATTTCGTTGGTCACCTAGGCCTATCGCCAGAGCAAAAGCTGACTAGTGGACTACGCATGCTAGCTTATGGCTCTCCAGCTAATCAACTTGATGACTACGTGTGTATGGGTCAGAGCACTGTACTGGAAGTCTTCGGGAAGTTTTGTAGAGCCATTATTGGGATGTACTCGTCGACATACCTTGGTGCACCAACTCTTGCTGATTTAAGGATCCTACTTCATAAAGGCTCACAACGCGGATTCCCTGGTATGATTGGATCAATTGATTGCATGCACTGAGAGTGTATTAACAGTCCTACTTCTTGGACTGGGCAATACCTGGGGCACAACCGTAAACCAATAATCATTCTCGAGGCAGTGGCTTCATACAACACCTGGATATGGCATGCTTTCTTTGGCCCGCCTGGGTCGAACAACAACATCAATGTTCTGGGGATGTCTCCGGTGTTTGACTGTATCCTCAACATATCCGCCCCACAAGTACGATTTGACGTAAATGGTCATACCCATGATCAATATTATTATTTGGCTGATGGTATTTATCCTTCGTGGTCAACTTTAGTGAAAACATTCAACAATCCAAGCTCAAACAAAGAAGCCTTGTTTGCTCGATGTCAAGAAGCACATCAAAAAGAAGTAGAGCGGGCTTTTGGAATTCTTCAAGCTAGATGGGAAATCGTTCGTGGGCCTGAAAAATCTTGGGATGTTTCCCCAATTAATGATATAATGTTGACATGAATTATATTGCACAACATGATAATCGAGGATGAGCAGGTTGATTCTGACGATGAAATGGAAGATAATCTCTATTATGAGGTCCACGACCAACAACCAACTAATGTCGATAGAGATATACCAGCCCTACTGAGTACTTGGCTAGGAATAATAAGCTTCGTGCTGCACCAACACATCATGGCCTTCGTCAGGACTTAGTCGAGCATATTTGGAACTTGCATGGAAATAATTAGTCCTGTTTGTTGCTTGGTATTGATGTTGAGATGCTTTGAAATTCGATTAAGCTGTAGTAGGGATCAATTTTTTTTGTAATTCAAGAATGCATTTTCATTCCAATAAAATGAATTCAATTTAAATCATCTTAGAAAATAAAATAAAATAAACAAACTATTGAACACAAATTAAATACAAACTAAAAAAAGTCTAAATACAAACATTAATTCCCCTTCCCCTTAATTAATTAGATAACCTTCCCTTAATTAATTCCCCTTAAATAATTAATTAATATTAAGAAACTAAAGGAATAGATAAACAACTATGAGAGAGTACGAAGAGGAAAAAACACAAGGTAAGAGAGGGGAAGAGTTCTTCTTATTCATCTTCTTCATTTGTATAATGAGAGCTCTATTTATAGGCACATATACATAACCTTCACATTCTCCTCTATCAATGCACATGAATGTGATAAAATAACCATGAAAAGGATTCATTTCAATGATCACTGTAGGGAGGTAATTACATCTTAATGTAACATACCATATGGAATCCGCGACGAGTGTATTTTTTTGCATACACTTTTATAAAATCTCAATAGATTCAATTACTTTCACAAGTGAGTATATTCTCATCGAGAGCATGCATCACATAATCAATCCTTTGATTGATGAATTCTCTCACTTGATTTCCATATGATATATATCTCAATCATTTTTTCCGCATCTGTATCTGGGATGGTATGACCGGACATGCTAAAACAAAAAGTTACCCGATCTTGTAAACTTCTGGTTTACACTTTCAAATGTACTATTATACATGTAATACAAATTTCTCCATTTAAGTATATGTTCTCTTAGAACACATTTATGATGCAATATTAATTATGATATTCATTTCTACGAATATCTTCATAATTCGGTAATGCATCTTCAACTGACAGTCTAGTTTCTTCATGTATCAAAACAATGGCTCTTCTGGAGCCTTCACAAACTCTTGTACTACATTTTGGCCAATAGGAATATACTGATTCGATGAATTATTGTAAGCGCATATACATAGTGATAAGAATATTTTCATACTATTGATATCACCAATTATTTAGTTACTTCAAGTAACAAAACACAATCTCTTCCGGAGCTTTTGCTTACTTTCATACTATATGATATAATACCAGTATTAACTTTCGCGAATATTCATTCTATACAAAAGCAGACATAATAATAATAATAATAACAATAATAATAATAATAATAATAATAATAATATATGTGTTTCATAACACATTTCAACATATGAAGGTTACGGTATATGATCATGACTTTTGCTACATGAATTGTCATCATTTATAATTATTCTATCTTTCACTTCCGGTGAAAATATACATTTGCTGATTGTCGTTATCCAAACATCAAATTATATTTATATAATGGTGTGTCTCGATCCATTCACTTTTAAGAATGATTTGTTTTCATTCACTTCTAGGAATGAAACAACCACCTTTGGATCAAATTATATAATATTTCTCATCACAAGTCCAATACACATTTCACCTTTAACAAACAAAAATAACTTATACTTTATAAAACTTCTTCCATAATATTGCTACTGCAGGAGCACATATAGATTTTTATTTTCCTTCCATTGATTCTTGGATCAGTAAAACTTCTTTTCATACATCAGGTTGAAGACCAATGATACATTTTTCTTCATTTTTCCACTTTGTGGAAAATGAGATCTTTAGACTTTCATTTCTCTATATGTCCAATGTAGCAATCGATAAGTCAACCCATAATGTACTTATTTCATGATTTTGCTACTACAGGAGCAATTCTCATTTTTTGATAAAGTCCAAGCACAAACTCAATGTTACAAAATCGACACATATAAAATAAGTTCATAAAATAATATGAACAAATAACATGATCAAATAATCTCTCGAAGACAATGAAATAGATGAACATACCAACAAGAAATTATATGAAAATTTGCGTACCTTGATTGTGTTGTGATCTTACTCCAATATATTTAATTATGTAGAAAGACAATAACCAGCCATGACTTTGGCAGAGCTTCGTGCTGATAACGTGTTAAGAAACTAAAGGAGTAGATAAACAACTATGAGAGAGTACGAATGGGAAAAGACACAAGGTAAGAGAGGGGAAGAGTTCTTCCTATTCATCTTCTTCATTTATATAATGGGAGCTCTATTATAGGCACATATACATAACCTTCACATTCTCCTCTATCAATGCACATGAATGTTGGGAAGTAATTACATCCTAATGTAACATCCCATATGGAATCCAAAGTAGCATCCAATGGACATACACCATACTACATTGTTTCATAATAATTAACAATTAAAAAAAAAAAGTGATGGGCGGGACAACCGCCAGGGCTGGGCAGTGCCCCGCACGCATACTAACCCTTGCGCGTGCAGCGCATTGCCCAGTCCTAACAATTGTCCCGCCCAGCACCCAACTCTCTCCCCATAAATGTCGAGATCGACCCAAATGTCGATCTCCCAATAAATACCGTCTTTCCCTATTTTTAGTCCAGTATTGGAGCTCTCCACCCCCCATTTATTAAGACTACTCATTTATGGGATGCATTTGAGTCAGCCTGAATATTTATCGTACCTAATATAAGAGACAAGGTGGAGGTAAGTAAAAGGAGGAAAGAGATTAACTCGCTCGCCAGAGCTACATGCTCACGGGAACATGGGAGGGGGAAGTGTCGGCCGGAACTGTGGACCGGCAGGCCGGCCTGGTCCCGGATTTAAATACGTTTTCTGGTAATGGAGTCGGCTGGGTCTCTGAATCAGCCCAACATAACATCAATGCACGGCCGCCATAATACAAGTTATTTTTCTCCATTTAGGTACCAATTTTGATCAACAATCAACAATGGTCAGCTTGGAATTTCATTCGAATTCAGAAAGCAAAACCTGTATGTATGGATGAGCAAGATTATATTTGCCTCAATAACTTGGTTAGAAGAGGGTTGGTTGAAAATATACTACCATGCATCTAGCACTCTTTTATTTCCTCTAGAAATTTTACCTCATTCATTTTGACATGAATTAAAAAAAAATTATCTAGAAGAAATGAGTTCTGTCTGATATACATAGTGATATTTTTTTTTATATATGTATTAGGATTATTATTTTAAACCAATTATACTACCGTCTAAGCGTCTACCGCCATCTTACTAGGCACTAGTCTATTTCTATCACTATGGTATATTTCTACCATCAATATTGTACATTTTGATACATCATGATATCAACTTCTGTACTATAATCTACCATGATCTACCAAATTATATCAAAGTATATTTTTAAGGGTACAATTAAAAATATAACATTTTGATACATCACGATATCTTTTCTCGGAGAACTCATGGCTCTTCGGGTTTCATGGCCTGGTGCATGACTCACAATATAACTAATGTTTTTTTTTTTTTTTGTGGTGATGTATCGCGGTAGTCCGGATCGACTCACGTTTTGGGAGGTGGCATTCTAATGGAAATTGATAAGGTGTTGCAAACATCTCTTCAAAGTGCTTATGTCTATTCACATCTCATAGATACAATATGATTGCTCATTTCGTGAGAAAACAAACTCTTTTATCGTTGGTTCATCGACTTGTTGACAAACACTTATTTCTTTCTTTTGAATTTTAACCTTAAAAGATCTTTGTATAATAGTATCTCGTTATTCCTCTCGAAATGTCTATGAGAAAAATAATATAATAGCATCCAGTTTAGATTTAATCAAATCATCGAACAAAATTTTTTTAAGGCTTGTTCATATATCCCCCGCGCTAGTTTCTCTCTACAATTCCTTCCCGGGCGCCGGCGCCGGTTGCTTCCCGCGGCAGGCCAAGCCGAACGGCGGACCTCGCACCACCTCCGTGGCAATCACCGCATTCGCCGCCTCGGTGCAGTGATGATCATCCCACATCACGTACCTCTTCGGATCCGGGCAGGAAACCGCCCCCGGCCGCCCGCACTTGGCCGACACGACGAAGTTGTACGGCCCGCCGGCGCCACAGCAGGCCTTGTTCACCGTGGCTTTGTCCATCCCGTACTTGACCGGGTCCTGGACCATCCGAATCGTGGGCCCATAGTAATCCGCGTAGTGGATGCTGACGTCGGGATGGAGGTTTTGCACCCGTTGGATTTCGTCACGAAGCATTGCGTTGTGGCTGCTGGAGACTCCGTTGTGGTAGATGAGGCAGCCGGTGAGAGGGTCGTAGGCGCTCTTGTCGTTGCTCGGGAAATCCGTCAGATAGGCCGGGAAGCAACCCTTTGGGAAGTCGCCGGGGACTAAGAAATTAACCTGTGCCCAGAGTATATATATATATATATGAGTCAGTGAGCAAATAAACTAGGAGTTTGTTGTTAGGACCAAGGATTGAAAAATTGTACTACTGGTTCAACCAATTTTTTTTATTTATCGAAATTGGTAAGTGTAATGGAACGGCTGAATCACGGTTTTAGTATAAAATACTCTGTACTTATTTTTAGATTCTTGGTTAGAACTAATGCAAGTAAAATATGTGTATTGTAATTTGTTATGTAAATATGATGAAACTCTGTCTCTTAGAAAAATGCAGTTTTCTGTTGTTAGAATTATCGTTATATTTTTTCATTCTGCGTTGTCATCCATCCAAAATCAATCGATAGAGTTTAATCAGAAAATTTTCCAATCTTATGTGTTTCTCTTCTTCTCTAAATTCGATCACAGGTTATTCTTCTCAATCAGTCCAAAATTTACTTCTCGCTCGACTCCTAATTCCCTCATATGACATATATTCTTAACACAATCTTATTATTCGCATAAACTAATAACTAATAAGTCAATCTCGCCAACCATTTCATTTTTCTTATTGATAGGATCGAACTTTTCTTTTTATCTATTGGTGGTTCAATGATTTGATCTAATAGTACTATCATTAATCTTCAATCTAGAGATTTCAAATTCTCATAAAGAATTAATTTTTTTGTCTATAATTTAAATTAAACAAAATATATGAACTGTGAAAATTAATAGGGTATCATTGAAAATTAATAGGGTATCATTTTTAGTTATTTTACGTACCGCTCCAAGCTGGATGATCTCTTCGATAGCCGATCCGATTTTCCCGACGACGAGCGGCATCAGCCCTTCGACGGCCTCCGGGCCCGAATCGCGGATCTGCAAGGCCGCGCGCATGTAATCGACGCCGCCGATCTCCCCGAGGACGATGAGCGTGCTCTTCATATACTCTCTACACTCCGCCGGACTCTTACACAGCGACCCAAGCAGGGTCTTGAACCTTGCCAGCTGGACGCTGAGCGAGCAGTTCTGGCAGCTGGTGATGCCTCTGCCCTTGAGGAACTCAAAGTCCATGACGGTGGCGGAGACGACGGCGAAGTTGGCTCCTTGGCGGAAAGGAGCGGCGTCGGCGATGGGCTCGCCGTGGTAGGGAGGGAGCATGGGGAGGCCGAGGTGCTGGGCGAGGAAGTCAACGATGGTGCGGCCGTCGGTGCAGCGGCCGGTGGGCTTGTGGAAGTAGGTCTCGCCGTAGGGCGGTTGTGAGCAGCGGTGGGGTTCGGCTCCCGGGGTGTTGTAGATGCCGGTGGCGGTGGCGGAGTCGCCGAAGCTGAAGAGGGAAGTGTAGCATTGAGGTGGTGGGGCGGAGGAAGCGGTGGTGGCTAGTAGAGAGAGGAGAAGGAAGGCGATCATTTGGCGAATCGCCATTTTTTTTTTTTTTTGTTTCTTCTAGATGGACGTAGTAAGAGGAAGTGGCGGACAGCTTTTGTGGATGAGAAGAGATGGATTGAGTGAAGTATAGACGCCTTTAAAAAGGGTGTTTGACATCTTTTTCCCCCTTCTAAATGTACGTAATAAGAGGGAATGAAATGTCCATTTTTAGCTTCCCAAAATATAATTTTTTCCTAAACCTACAAGAGTACAAGCCTTAAAATTTAACTTCACACCAAATCAACAAACGATATTAAAAACAAATGGTCTGAAATTTTGGTGAACCCGCGACATTGGGAGATCCAGACGCAACTGTCGCGGATCCACTCCCACCACATTTCCGCTGCTAGTCAAATAGGAAGCCCCAAACCCCTTCTTATTTGACATTACCCATTTTTTGAGCTAAAAAATGGAGGGTTGGAATTAAAAAAATGCTAATAGTCATTTAGCTCTTTAGATTGGAGTTAGTCTAAGTAATTAGTTCCCCCACGTCGGAAAGATGCACTATTGGGTTAAAACTTAAAATGAACATATATAACCAACGAATCAGAAAGACTGGTAAACTTGCTAGAATTGTTTTTGTTGGGCCAAATGGTAAGCCCTCAATATCTGTATGATGACTGACGTTGCATTTAATTCTTCCATTGTCTGTACCCCTCTTCTCCAAAAGTTAATCTGCTAACTTGAAGATTCGTTAGCAGATACTAACTGATATCCAAAACACATGAACTAGTATCCAAGTACTAAAGTATCTAGAGAGCACAGACTAGTATTCAAGGTTTGCTAACTGATATCCACCATGAATCAACGATTATCCCAAATTCACAAACTAATATCCAGACAACACAGAATAGTATCCATACAACACATAATTAGTATCCAGATAACACATAAGAGTATCCAGATAACACATAAGAGTATCCATATTGAATACTAGTTGGTTGATTGTGGATATTAGTTCAGGGGCGGAGCTACTCAGAGAGTAGGGTGGGCCCCGGCCCACCCGGGAATAGTCTCGGCCCCTAGGATCGTAAGCATATTTAGATAAAATTTGGACAAGTAGTGCTCGACCTATACATTGTATCATATATCAATAATTTAGTCTATTGGTAGCTAGGCTAAACTTTTAGCCTAAAACAAACAGGTTCGATCCACAACAACCACATTTTTGCTTTAATTTCTTTTTGGACTTTATTATCTTAATTCTCCTCCACACGGTCCTGAACCAAAGGAAAAGGATACCCACTCCTTTCATTCTTTTTGTTACTTTAATCCAGCTACAAATGAAAAAATCAACCTCTATTTAGTTCATGAGATTTTTAGCTTTTTACAAACTATATGATCTATTTTTTTTATCTATGTCGGAATGAACAGAAGATTAGTGTCAAAGGAATTTTATTTTGTTGATAGGTTGATTTGTCTTCTTCTAACTCTTCCAAACTTCTAAATCTACATGTGATCGTGCATGTTTTGAGGTATAAAGATAGTGAAGAATAGATTGCAAAACAAAATGAATGATGAGTTTCCTGTTAATAATTTAGTTGTTTATATTGAAAGAAAGATAGCTAAAAATGTTAGTTCAGATGCTATTTTGAGAGATTTCAATGATCTCAAAGAAGGTTGTAGACTTTAAAAACAATTATTTTATTTTTATTTACGTTTATCTATTTTCGGCACACCCGGTCTCGAAATCATGGCTCCGCCCCCGTATTAGTTGGTATCTGCTATCTGGATACTAGTTTGTGATGTTTTGAATACTAGTCTGTGTTATCAAAATACTTTAGTAAAATCAGCAGACTTAGATACTAGTTCATACATTTTGGATATTAGTTAGTGAGGAATTTTACAATGCTATATAGTATTGGTGCTATAGGTTTTTGTCTTTACGGTACAGTTTGAAATTGTACCTTTAACGTTATGGTACAACTTCAGATTGTACCTATACTTTTTGTACAAATTCTTTTATGGTACAACCTGAAATTGTACCTTTATGTGATGGTACAACTTCAAGTTGTAAAGTTGTATCATAACATAATGATACAAATTCCTTTATGGTACAACCTAAACCTATATATTTAATGTTATGGTACAACTTCAAGTTGTACATTAAAGCACCAATACTATATAGCATAGTAGTAGTGCTCATTAGTTAGTATATACTAATAACTTATGCAGTTAGCAGAATAACTAGGCTACTCCTCCAAGGAAGGGAGGAAAATGGAGGGGATGGAAGAGATGGCAATTTTTACCTTACCTGTTTTACTCGATTTGTTTGATCTGTTTTGGGGTGGGGCGGGGAGGGGCGGGGCGGGTATGTGTACTCTCATCGACCTGACCTGCCCCATTCTCGACCCGTTCTTACCTAAATTACTTGTAATCTTAGTCAAATTACTTAGAATTTTCCTTTTATTACATCAATTTTTAGCTATAATAAAGTTATACATTAGTGAAAACCTCAATTTCTCCAATAACTTAACTACATTTATCATAATATTGTTTGTTTTCTTGGTCTTATAATAAAAAAAACGATTCTTTCTAATATTTTTCATATAAATCACCCGACCTGAACCGACCTGCCACGGGGCGGGTCTGAGTACCAAGAAACCCTCCCCGGACCTCCCCCATTGATATTCCTAGGGGATGGGAAGGGAATTAGCAGGAGAAGGACAATTTGGAGGTTAGAAATTGGAAGGAAAATAGTGTTTCATGGATGAAATTGGGAAGAAAATGTGTATTGGGAATTGTGATTGATATGTTATTTTATTGGGTATATAATAGTAAAATAATGGTATTATAATTACTGAGGAAATTATGGACCGAACTAGTATTTGGACCGGACCTAATGAACCGAATGCAATGATAGTCTGATCCTTGATCCTAAAATATCTTTCATTAATACACGAATCGTTGCACACTCATAAATTCTTTTTTCGAGCAAACATATCATCATCATCATCTTAATTACACTCATAAATTTGGTTCAATTCGAACTGGACCGAATCGTTGCACACTCATAATTCTTTTTTCGAGCAAACATATCATCATCATCATCTTAATTACACTCTCCCTATCGCCTAAACCACCTATTCTTACTTATATTATTCTATTTTTATCTTTGAACAATGTGGGTCCAGAGAAGAGTATGAGTACATTTAACTATAATAAAAAACCTAAGCCCATTAGGTTTTCCTCCCAATTTGAAAGGTCTTCCTCCAAAATGGGGTTTCCTTCCAAAATCACTTCCCTCCTTACGGTGAAAGAGGTCCAGAATAGGAAAAAAAAAAAAAATACATCGATCCCCCACTTTCCCCCTTACCTTCCCCTCCCCTTCTAAAGAAATAGAGTCAGAATTTCGAGACCGAGTTGGCCAAAAATAGATAAATGTAAATAAAAATAAAATAATTATTTTTAAAGTCTATAATGTTTGAGATCATTGAAATCTCACAAAATACCATTTGTACTAAAAATTTTAGCTATCTTATTTTCAATATAAATAACTAAATCATTAACAAGAAACTTATCATTTATTTGTTTCGCAATCTATTATTCACTATCTTTATACCCGAAAACATGCACGATCACATGTAGCTTTAGAAATTTGGAAGAGTTAGAAGAAGACAAATCAACCTATCAACAAAATAAAATTCCTTTGACACTAATCTTTCTGTTCATTCCGACATAGATAATTAAAAAAAAGATCATATAGTTTGTATAAAGAGCTAAAAATCCCAGGGGCCGAGAATATTCTCGGTGGGCCTACTCTGTAAGTAGCTCCGCCACTGAACAGAAGGTAAGTATAAATACACAAAACAGAGCATTTATTAGACCAACTACCACAGAGCATTTGATACTTTCCCTCTCTTACTACCCCTCACTAATTTTACAGGACGAGGACACTCAATTATTCGCCTCGGCCGTGTTCGTGAGTCACAAACCTTCTAGGCTCAAACTAGGGTGATAATACGGTTTGGTTCGGTTAAATTGGACCGAATTGATCCTGTTCTAGTCCGGTTTTTTAGGAACAAAAATTGGATTGGATACAGTTCGGCCTGGTCTCAATTCGGTCTTGATTTTAGATTCAGCTTATCAGAATTTGAGTGGCCCGAGGCCTGGAAGGGTGAGTAATTTGTTAAATTTTGGGTGTTGGCCTCTTTTATCCAGTCTTTATCCGGTTTCGATCCGGTCCCGAACAATGTTTTTACCTCAAATCTAAACCCGAAAATAAAATTGGATTGTTTGTTATCCGGTCACGATCCGGTTTCAGTCTGAGTTATACGATCTAGTTTCGAATAAAACCAAAAAGCTTGGACAAAAAGCCACCCCTAGCTCAAACAGTTGCCTTGCATGGGAGATCATGAACTACGTGTGCATGCGTAATTTTCATAATGTACTTTTTGCATCATAATTGGCTAATGTAATGTTAATGCAGATAAGACTAGGGATATTCATTGTACCCAAGAGCCAAGAGACATGTTGGGATATATACAAATACAATGATAGGGGAAAAAGATTGGAGGTAAATAAAAAGGTGATAAAATTTGAGTAAGGGTGAAAAAAAGACTCAATACTAATACAACCCCAACTTATTATGGGTTAGAGTAAGTATGGGTATTTTTATTTTTGGGCATATACATACTCAATCTTTTAGTTTGAGTCTAAAGTGGACATATAGTGTTGGAAGTTCAAAATAATATGAATATCTAATTATAATGCAATTTTTGTCTTGTTTTTATGAAAAAAATAGAAAGATGAAAACTAAATGTGCATAATTGGATTAAAGGTTGTTAATGAAATTGTTGATATTCTTTTTTGTCTATATAATCATCAGGCTCCCCGTTTTGATCTAATTCAAATGGGACCCAATTCAGAATCAATCCAAAATAGATAAAAACCATTCAAAATGCATATGGATCCATTTTAGCAAGACCCAATACTCATGTGAGTTTTGACAATAGGGTCACATTACCCAATGGATCAATTCGCCATATCTAATTTTGATCAACAATAAACAATGTTCAGCCTTGAATTTTATTCGAATTCCGAAAGCAAAACTGTATGGACGAGCTAGATGTGCATCAATAACTTGGCTAGAAGAGGGTTGATTGAATTATACTAGCATAGCACTCTTTTTATCTCTTCTAGCAACTAGTCCCGGGCCCGACCAGTTGGCCGGATGCATTCGTCAATTACGTAACTTACCGTATAATTAGTATTGCGAGATACATATTTATTTAGTAGTACCTTAGAATCTAAGTTATTTAAATATGCGAAACATTCAAAAGAATTGGTAGCACAAGAAAACACAAATTATTAAAATACTTAAACCATTCTAAAGGATCAATTTCATGTATTTTCTGACATTCTATCTGACCCATAGACTAAACTCCTTTATAAAAATAAACATTACAGGAAAATAGGTTTCTAATCACGGTATCTTATTCACGGGAATATTTGCCGTACTAAAAAGTACACTAGTAATCACTGAAAACTTTCCTGTAATTAA